CTGAACTGAAAGCATATTCTAACACTCCCCCTCAAGATGGAATATCTTGAACCATAGAGGAAGAGAGTAGAGATGCAATCAAGGAGCATCTTGTTTCGATTTCAGTTTTTTTTTTATCACAGACACTTCGTCTGCCTTAGATTTTCTTCATCACCAATCGTGGTTTAAAGCTCCATTTTGAGCTATTTTCTTGGTTAATCTTCCTTCACTATTTGAGAAGGAATATCTTCATATCTTCATATTCGAAGACAAAATCAATTGTTTTGAAAACCTGCCATTCTAGCAGGTTCAATTTCAGTTTTGATTCCCTATCTGGGAATAAATCATTCATGTTCCGACACTTCGTCGAACACCTAGTGAGCCAAGCCACTAATCTTCAATTTCTGGTTTCAGTTCCCTATCTTGGAATAAATCAGATTTACCCTTGTAAAAATCTGATAAGCCTGCCATTTACAGGATCCATCTTCAATTTCTGGTTTCAATTTCATTTTCCTCATGTTCTGTTGTTATTGCTGGTTCTATTTCTGCTGCTGGTGTTGTGGCTGATCTGATATTTTGAAGAGGTTTGTTCCCTGCTAATGTTCTCGAAGCTATACTGTGATAGATATCACAAGCACAGATCAAATGTCATCGCATAATGAGGTGCACTGTGGAGACAGTCATTTTTCCGAAGCAAGAATCAACTACTGGTGAACTTCTGCTTTGTTAACTGGAGAGTTGCTGGTGAACTCCAATTCAGTTTCTGTTCGTGATTCTTCAGATGTTCATCTCATGTCCATTCCCACATTTTATCGAGCACTTAGTGAGCAAAGTCACTAATCTGGTTTTGTTTATCAAACTGAAGTCTCCTCTGAGCCGGCAACAATCAGACAAGCATAACCAGTAGTTCCACCGCATTATTTTACCTTCCGGCCAAACTTAATTGAGGTGGATTTTGCTTGCGTTCCTCAACTCATTACTTCGCTGCAGTTGCGAGTTTTCCTATGGATTGAATTCAAGAAGCTACAGGGGTTGCTAAATCTTGATAGAACCGGGATTATCTGACTGAAGCTTTTCAATTCACAGAATCAGATTCGAGATTTTTTTTTTTTCAAAGTTGCTGATGAAATTTTTTGGGATTTTTTTTTTGATAGATTCAAATTAGAAAAGGAAGAGAAGTAGATGAATTTCAGAAGGCAGGATCTGAATCCGCTCTGATACCATGATAAAATCAAGGAGGAAGAGGAG